TGTGTGTATGTGTGTGTGTAGAAAAACACAGAAACATGCACTAGATGCAGACCAAGGACAGCAAATGCCATCAGCCCAGAACCCAGAGATGATTGCAGAACTAGAGAGCATGAGGATGATGAGACCCTGAGGCCCTCCATCCATGGGTCCCCAGTCCTCTGCACCTTCTCAGTCTCCCTAGGGAAGCTTCAGGCACACCAGCTAGTGTCTAGTAAGTTTTACATTTTACACACATCTATTCGTGAGCTATACATACTAGCTCATGCTTCTTACAAATTTCTCAACAAGGATTTACTTATTCCCCTATGATTTCTTTGCTGTATGTCATCTGCTTTGCTCTAGAAGAACAAAGGTAGGGAGACAACAGAGAAAGGAACCGAGTAACAGAATGGGGGTGTAATATTTAATCGTACTTTTACTCTTTTATCTACTTTTGCCTTCAAACAAGGGGCCTCTGTTGTTGAGCTGCTAAGTCATAGGCTTGTGTGTCTGTCTATGTAGTCCTGTGTAAGCCCATGTAATGCATGGACCACCTCTGGCACTAAGCACTAATTTTGGCACACTTGGTGGGGGGTAGGCACTGAGTGGCTTTCAACCCTTGCCCCTGCTCTGCTGCTACAGGAGGAAGAAACGCGTTGTGTGGCCAGCCCCTGCCTCTTTCTGAGGTCACACTTGCTCCTCCCTTGAGTGTTCCCTGCAGCCAGCAGCTGTGAGGGTGTAGGTCTGCAGAACTAGAAGGGAGTCCCCACCCGAGGTTGGACACCCAGTCACGGACATGAGCGGTGTAGGCTTGGCGTTGGCGTTGTGCCTTCCTGCCAGCCCTGCTCACAGAAATATATGTGTAGGAAAGGCAGCCAGAAAGAGACCCGCGAAAATGAGCTACGAAACTTGGACATCCTGGAGAAATAATATTTATAGAGGAAACTCTTGAGCTGACTCTCACAGCATACCATCCCTGGTGAGAGCTGAAGTCATGCGCTAGGCAGGTCCTGGCTTTGTTTACCTCTGGGAGACCTTTCCAAGACCATGACGGGATTTCACAGAAAAGAAAGAACTTGCCCTCACCTAGCACTGCAGCGAGAGACAGAGCTGGGAAGTGAAATGCTTTAAAAAGAAACAAACCTTCCTCACAGAGTATGGTGGCACAAGCCTGTAAGTCTAGTACTTGGGCAGTAGAAGCAAGAGGATTGAGAGGTCAGGGTCACCTTTGGCTACATAGCAAATTTGAGGCCAGCATGGGCTACAAGAAACCCTATCTCAAAAACAAAAAACCTAATCTACCGTGGGATCCCAGGATTGAACTGTTGTCCCTAGTTTGTACGTCAGAGGTTTTTTCCCATTGAGACATCTCACTGGCCCTTACAATTTTTCTTCATAGGGTTGTACAAATATCTCTACTATTTATGATTTTCAAAAGAGAATGGCCCAGGCTCTTAGTCATGATTCTCCCATCTCCACCCCAACCCCTGTCCAAGTCTTGGGCTCCACTACTCACTGTATTTATGAATTTGCTTATTCTGGGCTTTTCATGCAACTGCAATCACAGACTCACCTGTGTCATAGCATGCACTACAACAGCATTCCTTTATGTTCCATGTGTACCCTGCCATTCTGTTCCCCAGAGCATCACTAACATACTTAGACACATGCTTCATGGACTATCAGACCTGGAGAGAACTTGGTAGACGCCGAACCTAAACACCATCATTGTGCCCCAGATGGATTAAGTAGCCTGACCAAGGTCACCCCACTAGTTGAGGGCAGAGGCCAGCCTCAAGTCTTATCCATCTCATCTTGACCCCATTAACTCCAGAGAATGTGTTGGGAGCGCAATTCAAAGACCACAGCTTCTTGAGGATGCTTGGCAGAACCATCCTTGCCAACATTAGCCTGGTAACAGTCATTCAACAGATACCAACTGGACACAGTGCGTAGCACATGGGAACACTGGGGACCCAAGGAGTCAAGACAAGATAGACAAAATTCCTTCCCTTCCTTTCTTTGTGCTTCCTGGATAAAGCTTTATGTAGTAAGATAATCATATCCTTATTAAAGGAAATCGCGAGTGAGTGAGGAAGGAGGAATGGGCACTAGGGAGGCACGGGCAGGGGACAGGGAAGGGGAAGACAGGACCCACTGGCAGAGTGCCACAGACTCTTGAGCAGGCTTCTCTGAGAAGATATTTAGGCAGAGGCCTGAAAGAGGAAGAAAGCAAGGTGCCAGACCGGGGCATAGGATGTGCGAGGATCCTTAGGTACGAAAGAGTTTGGTGAGGGAAATGGCTCAAACAGGAAAATGCTTGCTGTGCCAGCGTGAGGATGCAGGGTCCACTCCCAGAATGCATGTGAAAAAGCTGGGTGTAGTGATGGATGCTTGTAATCCCAGTGCTAGGGATGAAGGCGACAGGCAGGTGCCTAGACTCACTGGCCAGCCTAGCAAATCAGTGAGTACCAGACCAGGTGAGGGCTCCAGGCCAACTGAGAGACACTATCTCAAAAAACAAGGTGGACAAGTCTGGAGGAACAGCATCCATGATTGTTCTCTTATCTTGTTCACTCGCGCTCGCACACACACACACACACAAACTGAAAGTTACACAGGTATAGCAGAATGAGCTGGTGACTGTCCTTAGGCTGGAGAGAGCAGCTCCTGGATGTCCTTCGGCCTACTGACTCATGACCATCCTCTCAGAGATGACCAAAGTTGGGGAGATCAGTAGGAATGGAAGCCAGTGACTCCCAGCTCCCTTCCTGTAATTTCGATAAACTCTGCTCACCACAGGAAATTGGGGGAGTCTTGAGGCTCTACAGCAGACTTCCGAGGATGCAGAGGTGCATCTTCTAAGGGTGATGTAACTATGTGTCACCCTTGCGTGAGTTGGAGGATGAGGAAAGCAGAGGGGAAGGGAAAACACCGGCACATCTGTCAGGATGTGGCCGACCGTAAGGATACAGCTAGCTACAGAATGGAGCCCAAGTCAGCTAGCAAAAAGAACAAGCTAGAGGGTAGAGAGACGGCTCAGCATTTAAGAGCTCTGGCTGCTCTCCCACAGCACCTGAGTTCAATCCCCAACACCTTTAAGGCAGCTCACAACTGTCTGTAACTCCAGTCCCAGAGGGTCTGCCATCTTCTAGCCTCCATGAACACTGCACACAAGTGACACACAGACACATTCAGGGCAAACACTCGCATACTTAAAATCTCAACAACAGCAAAAAAATAATGCTGGCACTGTTGTAGAGGAGAGCCTATGTGCTTGGCAATCCGCGCATACGCTGTCTCTAGAAAAACACACACGTGCCATCTCTAGGAGTGGCTTTCCGTGTGCTCCCATCTCCCAGGATAAAGCCTATGTCCAGGAAGACGGGACCAGCATCTCAGCCACTGAGGCTGCATATCCATCACTGTACTGAGGGAGGGTGGGAGGGGTCTAGACGGACCCATAGAGAAATCTGCCAAGTCCATTGCCCTCCAACCCAGCCCTGCTTATTGGGCTGCCATTCTAGTCCTGATTTCGCTATGAATAGAAGTAAACCCCTCATACCACTTAACTATATTTTTCCGTCACAATCTTGACCCCTGCCTGGGCCATGGCCACCACTAATCTACCTTCTATACTTATTCTGGCCCTTTCACTCCAAGTCAGAATGACAGCTGTGACAGTCTGCAAAATAATAATTATCTATTGGGCATTAGCCTCTGGTATACATCCATCAGTACCCAAGGCACCTTGGGAGGATCACATGGTGATGGGTGTCTCAAGTGACTCACAACCCTTGCCTGCAGTCCAAGGTGTCCCAGCATGGGTTCCAGGACTTTAGGGGTCACCTTTGCACTGGAGGGTTTTTGCATATGCTTGGCCTCTGCCAGTAACCTTCTTCGTCCCCCCCAAACTTGTCCAGGTGTCCCCTGTGGAAGAAAATGGCCCCCTGGTTGACAGCATTGCCCTTGTCCCTGCATTTATCGGTAAATGGGAGACTCCTTCCCCTTCCTGATCACTTCCTCTCTGACAGGGCCCCATTTAGGATGACCAGAGGTTGAGGGGTTCAGTGAGTTTCACTGTGGGTGAGTCCTGGCTCCCTGAAACTCTCCCCTCTCTAGAAAAAGGACACTTTCTGGGTTGCCATCGTGTCCCTCTCTGCTTTGAAAGTGTCCCTATCTAGCTAAAGCTCTTGCTGCTGTGTAGGAGGAAGTCTGTATGCTGCCATTAAACATGTGACTTACTAGAGGCGCATACAGATGAGGTAATAAAAGGGCGGGGGAGAGTAGTCTGAATTGGGTTATGAGGTCCGCGAGGTACCTCACCTCAGCCATTGAACTCGCTCTTGGCTGGCCGTGAGTCTGTTCCAAGCTCCGGCGAGGGAGGCATCCGGCCACTCGGGGCCTCTCCTGCCCAGTCTGCCCTCCCCGGGGTCGGGGAGAGCCCGGTTAGGGCCGCGGGAGGCCCCAGTCTCAGACCTTCCCAGGGGCCGGGGAGTGACGGGCACTCAGCACGTGGCCCCGCTGATGAGCTTCCTACATAATAAATAAATAAAATATTAAAAAAAGGACCTCATAACCCAATTCAGACTACTCTCCCCCGCCCTTTTATTACCTCATCTGTATGCGCCTCTAGTAAGTCACATGTTTAATGGCGGCATACAGACTTCCTCCTACACTGCTGCCTGCTGTAGAGTACTCCAAGACCTCTGGGGAGCAGAGTCAGGGAGACCAGTGTCACCTCTCCCTGAAATCATTCCCCTCAGGTGACAGAGGGAGGACACAGGAACTGGGCTGAGTGCACACGGTAGATGGGCTGGCAAGCTAGCCTTTGTCACTCTTATCCTCAGGAATGTATCTCCCCATGAACAGCTCTCCCTGGAGCAGAAAGGGAAGGGAAATCCTCGGGGGCGCTACAAAATGGAACAAGCAGAATTTTCCATGGCCGACTGTTCTGGCTGCGGGGCCATTGGCAAAAGCGCGGTGTTTGCTGACTTTCACTCGCGTTATTTTCATTCCAGTTCAGCTGCAGCTAAGTGCGGAAAGCGCGGGCGAAGTGTATATAAAGGGTACGGAGACGGGCCAGTACTTGGCCATGGACACGGATGGCCTTTTATACGGCTCGGTAAGTATGAGGCTGACGCCTCCAGACTCAGCCAAGGCTTGAGGTTTCCAGAAGTCTTGTTACATGGAGTGATGCAAATGAAACACCATCAATTAGTCTTTGTTTGTTATTTTTCCACCCTCAACCTTGCTTTATTTTAGGCACAAACATAAAAGAGTTTCTTGTGGTATTCTTTCAAAATACTCCAATTATCATACAGGCAGAGAGGAAATGATGATTGGTACTTTGGTAACTTGTCAGGCACTCATTTCAGAATTCCTAGTCCTACTTTATTCATTCAATCCGAAAAAGAAAAAAGTTTCTTGAGTGAAGTGAGAACTGTGTGTCTCTTAATGGTCTGTCTACCTGTGCGTGGGAATGCACCTGTGTGCGCAGAAACACCTGAGGGCCAGAGAGCAACCTTGGGTACCAGTCCTCAAGTGCTATCGACCTTAGGAAAAAAAAAAAGACAGGGTCCCTCATTAGCCTGGAACTTGCCAAGTAGACTAGGCTGGCTAGCTAGAAAACCCCGGGGTCTCCCTGTCTGCCATTACCCAGGGCTAAGACGAACATACACCACCAAGCCTGGCTTTATTTATTTTCTTATTGTAGGTACTGGAAACTGGAGTCAGGTTTGAGTATGTTACTTCTCCCATCTCTTAATGCTTTTCTAAAAATCAAAATCAAACTTAGTTTTAACATTTAATTAGTAGTTTAATGTTTAAAAATTAAATTGTATTAGAATTTGAAGATAATCTCTTCTGTTTCAGAATCACCTAAAATGTTAAAACCAAGTTGCCATACTTTGGATTCAGTGATTCCCTTCTCTGTAGCCCAGCACTTATAGAATCTTGCCTGTAATTTGTGGCCCAATCCTTCCCCTTTGGGAGGATGGTACCTGCAAAAAAGGTGGTCTGTAAGGCAGGTTTAGTCTGGAATGATCTTCAGTGGTGTCAAATTGCCAAACCAGCATAGGCACAAGAAACATGCAGGTAGGAACATCATGTAGCTCTCCCACTGACCACTAGAGGGCAAAAAGATGGAATGCTGCCACGGGAAGGGACTTCAGGGGATTGGAGTTGGGTGGTGACTGCTGCGCAGGAAATGGACTTGATAGTTCTTCCATCACCCATCAAATCAGTCAACCAAACGCCACTCCAGACTCCCAAATGAAGCTCGTGACTAGCCTACTCTAGCAAGCTGTTTGTCCACAGACAGTACCTACCTCACATAGGTTCAAGACTGTCCAAGGCAGCTCACCAGCTTCTGGCACCTGGGACACCTCTAAGATAATCAGCTTGTGAGCCCCACATACTCACTATGTCTTAGAGATTGTGACAAGGTTTTAGGCTTTTCCTATTTGAAGTTAATTTTGACATCTATTCTAATATTTTACACTTACAGACAAATGTTGAGGGAGCACTGCCTAAAACCAGTGTTCCCAAGGCTCCAGAAAAAAATTTCTCCTACATTAACCATGGTCATCATTGTAGCTCACCCAAATAAGATCTTAGCATGTCCTAAGAATCTTTGCATACACCACACTGACAAAGAAACATTCTACCATAGCTAAAAGCTCTATCTCATGCTCTGAGCAAATTTTAGGAATTCATCCATCCTAATTCAGATTTGTGGTCTGTGTAGAAAGGATATTTTTATTCTGAAAAATGTAGTTTGAAACACTGTATAACAAAATATTAATATAGTTATCTACAGGGGTAGTAAGTGGGTAGGTTTATAACACACTAACAATGAGTATATGTCACCTAAGTAACTGGGGGGAAAGCACGCTAAATATAAAAATAGAAACGACCACAACAATAGGCATGAATCAAGAGGTGAGGAGCGTGTCCCCTGTACAGTGTCAAGGGTATAGGGAGTACACACAAAGCCTGACTGAGAGATGCTTTACCTCTGAAATGGCTGGCCACCTCAGCCGTGACTCAGCCACTCTGCACGTAGGCTGCACCTGTGTGACAAGGAACAAGTGGGGACCAGGGCCATCCCCACCTCTGCCACTGAATGCAGGTCCTACACCCACTGAGCGCCATCATAGAGTGATCCTACTACAGGGTCATGACAGCCCTCATGGTCTAAAACCACCTCCTTCCTTCTGTCTCCACAATGTGACCCGGTACCAGTGTCTGGACCAAGTTCCTCCAAAGGCAGAGTCATTCAATTAAATACTATATTTATAACCTATTTTGTTCCAGAAGGATCCACAGTGTCTCACCCAGGTGTCATTTCCCTAGACTATAAATGAATAAGAAGCTGGACACTTCCTGTTGCATAGCTCCTTGCTAATAAAAGCCAACTCTGGGGCCAGGATGCAGCTCAGTGGTAAACTGTTTGCTTAGCAGGAATCTGGCTCCTACCCAAGCAGGAAGAAGAAAGAATTCCATTTACCCACTCACTAGGTAGTGAGCAGCCATCATCTGCAAAACTGTGCCTAAGGGTAGATACGACACCATAAAGGCTAACAAGATTCCACCTCTATGTTTGGTAGTTCTTATACCCTAACAAAACAAACATGTCCATATATCAAGAACAATGAATGGTCTGATTAAAGACCATGAGAGAGGAAATCACAACTCAACTGTGGTTGACGAAAGCCCAGAAGGATCACAGGACTTGGAAAAAGGCACAGCCTGACATGGCAGGTCATCAAAAGGACAGTGTACATATAGTATAAGACATTTTCCAAGGAACCACAGTATTACGCTTGGGCTATTTCAGTAAGTCAACAGCTGTACTGGATTCTACTGTGAGGAGGGAACTTTATCCCCTCCAATGATCACCTTGTCATAGACACCTTCCATTATACTGCCACAATAGTCAATACTTCAAACCCCACCCTCAAAATAGGACTTTGTATTCATTCAACTGCCTCCTAATGGTAAAGTCTTAGAAGGGAAATTGCTGTTTTAAAAATAATACATGTTTTAGGGCTGGAGGAGCTTACCTAGCATGTGGGAGGACTTAAGTCCAATTCCCAGTACTGGAAAAGAGAAGAGAGAAGGAAACAAGGAGAGACACAGAGAGAGGGGTGTTTCAGATTTTGATACCTATGATCAAGCCATACTCAGAAAGATATCCTAACAAATGACTAATATTTTAACTTCACTTTTCCTTGGTAAGAATACTGAATATACTTTCATTAGTTTATTGCCCCAAAATAACAGCAGATAAGGTGGTGATGCGCACCTTTAATCCCAGCACTCAAGAGGCCGAGGCAGATAGATCTCTGTGAGTTCGAGGCCAGTTTGGTCTACAAAGCGAGTTCCAGGACATCCATCACTATAAGACAGGGAAACCCTATCTTAAAAAAAAAGGCAAATAAATGGACTATGACTTTAATTATGAATCTATATCCATAGAGCCTTATAGATTCTGCATATATGAGGAGACAGGGGAGGGTATTTGTGAACTGTTAGCAGTTGTATAGAGTTGGGAACATAGTTCTGTGGTAGAACATTTGTCTGGAACATACAAGGTCCTGCATTTAATCTCTGGCACTGTCCCAAACAAACAAACAAACAACAAATGCCCACAGTTGTAAAGAGAAGCCTTCCTGCCAGCCTGGTTCCAGAGCCACATCAGTCCCAAATAAGCACACAGGAGGCTATATTAATTTTGAAGCTGTTGGCCTTGCTTGTTTCTTACTGGCTAGCTCTGACTTAAGTAATTACCCCATAATTGTTAATGTAAGTATTTCTCTTACAGGAGAGATTTCTGGGCTTCCTACCCCATGGCGGTTACATCTCGACTCTCTGTGTTTCTCCTACCCAGAGTCCTCCTGGACTCCTAGTCCCACCTATCTTGCTTTCCCATTGGCCGACAGTGCTTTATTGACATATACACAGGACTTCCCCAACACACAGTTGCCTATGTGGAGGTGATGGGCTTTGCGTTTCTTCCTTTCTAACTAAAGCTGTGGTTGATTTGATTTCGGTTGTGTTACATATTTATCACTTGCTGTGGTTCAGGGGGCAGAACAGGGAGAGGTGTATACCATGGCACAAGCATGAAGGACAGATGACAACTGGTGGTAGTTGGTTCTCTCCTTCCACCACTCGGGTCCTCGGACTCAGGCTCAAATCGTTGGGTTTGGTGGCAAGTGCTTTCATCTGCTGAGCCGTAGTCCCATGGCTCCCTCGTGGTTTTCTTAAGAGCACAGTTCGTGACCTGGCTAGATGACTCCGTGGGTGAAGGAGGTATCTGTCAAGCCTGAAAACTTGAATTTGATCCCCAGGACCCACGTGTAGACCTGACTCACACAAACTGTCTTCTGGCCTCCACACATGAGTGGGTAACCTAAGTGCACTTATGTACATGGGCACGCATGCATGCACACATGTATACACACACACATACACACATATGCATGCATGCACACACACACACACACAATAAAAAATTTAAAAGGGTATAATTCTTTTCACAAATAACAAAAACAACTAAAATAAGTAAGATGATTTTTCTGCTTCTAAGTGACCAGGTATGGTTCACGAGCCCAGGGAAGGCAGGTAGAAGAAGATTAGGAGTTCAAAGTCTGTCTCAAAACAGCAGCCGAATGCACTGAGGCCCCAGTGTGTATCTTTATGGGCAAAACAAATTTTACACGTGTTCGTGCTCACAACAATACTAAAGCAAAAAAAAAACAAAAAACAAAAAACAAAAAACAAAAACCCAGCCTTTTATTGAAAATTACCAGTGTGGGAAGGAATTTGTGATTTACATACGAATAGTGAACAAAAGAGGAACCCTATTTCAAACCACTCACTAACTGTTCTGCGCCCCCCTTTGGTTTTTATCCGTTTAGCAGACACCAAATGAAGAGTGCCTGTTCCTGGAAAGGCTGGAGGAAAACCATTACAACACTTACACATCCAAGAAGCACGCAGAGAAGAACTGGTTTGTGGGCCTCAAGAAGAACGGGAGCTGCAAGCGTGGTCCTCGGACTCACTACGGCCAGAAAGCAATCTTGTTTCTCCCCCTGCCAGTATCTTCTGACTAGAGGGGTCTGTCTGGGTGCTCCCTATTTTGGTTGACCCTAAAATGTTCCCTTGACCATTGGCTGCTCTAACCCCCAGCCCACAGAGCCTGAATTTGTAAGCAGTGCTTCTAAATAACCAGTTCAGTTTTCTGCTGAGTCCTTTCTCCGCCAGCACAGTTTGGAACAGGACCAAATTGCTTCCATGGGTCAACTGGCTGGTCAGTCTAGGTCTGGGTTTAGATATCCGGTTGCCTCAGGGCACCTGCTGCAGGCTGGACCTCAGGGCACAAAGATGGGGCCATGCGAAGCATCCAAATGGGTCTGAGAAGTTGGTCCTTGGTAGTTCCATGCTCTTTCCCCTACTGAGTGAGCCCTGGTTTGAGTACCCCAGGCACCTAGTAGGTCTACCCTTCCCCCTGCCAGCACCCCATAAATATCACAGTGAGACTGGAGGAATTCCATGATAGAGACAGAAACCCCACCCCATGCACAAACAGGACTTAAAAACCTAAAGGAGTGGTATTTCCATGGACATCCTAGAAGCATGGGATCTCAGCACAGAGTAAGAAGGCAAGGCTCAGCCCACAGTCATTACCAAGTTACCAAGGAAACATTACAGTCCTGATGGTTTCAGCACAGTGATCTAGCGGCAAGAGAGAGGCGTAGGGGCGGTGTGACAGGGAAGGTACTTTGAGCTGTGGCTGCTAGCCTCTAAGGAGGAAGATGTTAGACTGAGGAGAAGGAAAGAGAAAGTGAATCATGATATGGCGTGCTTGGCCACCAGAGACAGGGGCCCCCAAATCCTACGTCACACGGATCACCTGAGGATCTGGTCTGAATATAAACCCAGGTCCTGCAGATGCTGCTGTCCTCCCTGCCAGGCTTTCAAGAGCAGAAAGTGTTATTCAAACAAAGGATGCTCACACCTCACCCTCCCCTGCCCCCATTGTCTGAGTGTCCCCGAACATTCAGGCAGTGCCCATGGAGTTAAGCATGGTTTTAAGGCACCGTGGCCCAGTGCCTATGAAATGCCCACTTAGAAGACATAGAAAGCATACTTCAAAAAAAAAAAAAGCTAAACCTCACCAATAGCTTCTCCCAAGAGACCATTTCTGTTACCATTATTTCTCCAAACAGGCCTCCTCTCGAAGTAAACTTGGCCCAAGTGGCTGGCAAATTAGAAACACGATTCATCTCTGGCATATGACACAGACGCCATTTTGACACACTGTGAGGCTTTATGCTTTCGTATGTTTGAAGGAATTAAATGGATTCGCATTCAGCCACAGAGACTGATAATCACTGCATAGTAGGTATACGCTACTCAGTTACCTAACATGCTACGTTTCTCATGCGGCTTTTCTTCTCTGTCTTCTACTGTGCTTTAGAAACGGGTGTCTAGGGGCTGGTGGGATGGCTTAGAGCTTCAGAGCACATACTGCTCCAGCGAAGGATAGGAGTTCAGTTCCCAGCACTCACATCCAGATGCTCAGACATGGTTCTAACTCTAACTCCAGGGACCTGGTGTCCCCTTCTGGCCTCCAGGCACATGTACAGTAAATAAATCCACACTCAGACATGCACGCCATTTTTTTTTTCATCTAAAGCAATGATATGGTTGGTGGCTGTGGATTAGAACCAATGACAGTGCTCACTTGTTTGATAAGGATCTAGAGGAATTATTCCCTGGCGGGATCCTGCTAACTACACTGTCACATTTAGGATGGGAGGCGAGTGATGAAACTCTGAGAGTTCAAACTGCAAATGGAGGGACTGAACTGAGTTATTGACAAAGAGGTAATGATAACGCTCGGCCAGGTGTGGTGGCACACACCTTTAATCTCAGTACTCAGGAGGGTGTCTGTAAAACTGAGTCCAGCCTGGTCTACACAGCCAGTTCTAGGACAGCCAGGGGCATAGAGAGAGACCCTGTCTTTAAAAAAAATAGTAATAATCATAACAATGTTTTTGCTTTTTTACAATAAGATGATTCATGACTTTTTTTTTAGTCTATGACTTGGATAAGATGATTCTGTTTTGTTTTAGTAAATCTCAGGCACACTGAGAATGATACAGTACAGTTTACCATGTCTTTATCTGAAGATTTGGCCAGTAAAAGTACACAGAGAAGAAATCTATGATATTTAGAATAGTCAGTAGTTTTATTATATAAACCAAACTCAAGTATAACATTGGCGAAGTCAAATTGAAAACCACTATACCACATCAATGAGATGGCGTCTGTGACTTCAGAGAATCAAAGCATGGCTGTGCATTGTGGCCTCAACCATCAACCAAGGCACCACCCATGTGTTTGCTCAGTAGATACTGCAGGCCCAGTGTGTGTCGGGCATTGGATAGTGTCCCCTGGGACCATGCCTGCCTGTTATCCTCTCCCTGGGCATGCATTTATGAAGAGAGATGTTGTGGATTCATTTCTTTCAGTCAAGTAAAAACCCAGACTACACAGATTCCTACTGAATCAATGAGTCAATAGTACATTCTAGAAGCCCCCAGTGGTAAAGTAATAGGGGACAAACCTAACGAAGTAAACCCAGGACTTTCCATGTTAGCCCTGTGTCTGCCTCACAGGAGGGGTCTAGTTTCAAATTGGGAAAAGAGCTGTCGGATCTTGTAGAAAGGGAGCAGTACGCCCGTCCCTGTGCTGTTTAGAATATTGACTTGGGAACATTCGGTTGTGCACTCTCTTCCATAAACTATGCCTCGAAGCCATCTGCCTGTCACGTGCCTCTCACATGCACTCAGTTCCAAGCTGGCTGTGACAAGGCCTCCAACACTCCCTGCAAAGTATGAGGAGCATATGGGCTTTTGACAGTAACATACCAAAAATAGAGCTGGGTGTTTCCCCCAGTGGCCAGCAGTGTGTCCATACAAAAAACTAACTGGTACATCAGCTGCCACGGAAGATGAGGCCCCTGCTTTGCACTGAAGGCGTGAAGCCCAAGAGCTCTGCAGAGAGCACCCCCTAAAGTAACCACAGTCCCTGGCTGCAGAGCAGGCTCTGATGAAGATGCCCTGACACTGTTTACCCCACCCCCCACTATATCACACTCTGCAACTTATAGATATCAATAAATGTTTATGTTAATGGGTGCCGTGTCTCGGGTCTCTGAACGTCTCTCTGTGGAAGGACACTGGACATCTGTGAGGTGACATCACGCATCCTGGAGAGTCAGCCGCATCGTTTTCTACAGTCGTCTTACTATTAGATAGGAGGCACTAAAGGTGAATGAGAAAAGCCAAGGTAGAAACAGTTTCACTGTGTTTGGAAACAAGGCAATATGAGGGATTTTTCTAGGTCTCTGGAAGGGGAATAGTCTAGAAATTTGCAAGCACTCTTAGAGACTCAAGGACTTTTTCTTCCTTGTACACAATGTGTGAGGTCATGCAGCCATTGTCAAGTTGACAGGCTTCTGCTCAGGCAAAGATATTATAAACTGGAAAATTAAGGATTTACTAAAAAAATTTTTTTTGGTTTTTCGAGACAGGGTTTCTCTGTGGCTTTGGAGGCTGTCCTGGAACTAGCTCTTGTAGACCAGGCTGGTCTCGAACTCACAGAGATCCACCTGCCTCTGCCTCCCGAGTGCTGGAATTAAAGGCATGCGCTACCAACACCTGGCTTGATTTACTCAAAATTTTAGGTCAATGTCAAAGGACTTTGTCTTAAGATGTGAGAATTAACAAGCACTCTGCTGCCTAGCGTATCGTAGAGTTAATGCTCTCACTCAAGTGCTGTCTCCCTCTCTCTCCTTCTCCCTCCCCCCTCTTTCTCTCTTGCACATGGACCACCTAGAAAAATAACTGGACAGGGTGGAGGGCTGGAGTAGAGCTGAGGTTAGAGAGCTCCCCGACCAGCTCGAGGCCCTGGGTTCAACTCCAGCACCACAAAAACAAAAAACAAAAACCATGGGCAGCCTGCACTCCCTGAGTAGCTACAGTCAGTCCCTTCTCCTCCTACTGTTGCATCAGGCATGGGCAAAGTGTCTCAGGAGCAGGCAAGGCTGGCAACCCCAGTTTGATCCCGAGCCCACGTAAAGGTGGAAGGAGAGAATCCACTCCACAGGGCTGTCCTCTGACCTCCACAAGTGCACATGGCATGCATGCCCCCATCAATAATTACAACAATAATAATAGTATTGTAAGTTGTCTTAAGCAGTACTTGAGAGCTTTCCGGAGTTCGAAGCATCCCCACCCCCACCATTATAACCCAGAACATGGAAACCCTTACACCCGGCTGAAACACAATTTCACAAAAAAAAAAGTATGGGGTACATTGTGTTCTTTCTGTGAACTAAAAGGTCAAGCATAGCTCAATTCCAGACCACAACTTTAATGGGTCACAACCACAGTTTGAAAAATGCTAGCTTAAAGCAACCATTCTCCTTCCCAAAGATGAAGCCCAGTTACTGTAGTGTTTACAAAGAAGTGGTTCATTCTGGAATAAATAGGACAAGGGGACATCCTGTGATATAGGCACCATCTGTTCCAGAGCTTGGTGAGCTCTATGAGCCATGATTGACGCAAAATGAAGAAGAGGCCATGCCCAGAGCATCCGCTATGGCCTCCAAGACAGGTCCAGCACATATGTGCTGTGGGAATCCTGGAGATTCAGGCCCACTTCCTCTTCCTTGAGAATTCTCACAGTTTGCATCTTAAGGTCATCCCCTCCCTAACTCTCACAGTATTTATCTCTCTAATCTTTCTTGGCCTTAGAGTCCTATTTCATTATCATTTCTATGAAATGCGTAAAAGGAACCGAGCCAGGAAAAGGTTATAAACCTAGGGCCTTTAAGTATCAGTTTCTGGAAATGATCTTCTCACCTCTTATCTTCCTAAAACACTCAAAAATTTGCCAACATGACTCAATAATGAGGCAAACACCATTGCTGCCACAATGCAGCCTGTTCGTGGAGTTTGAAGTTTTCATTTTTGATGAGCCAAAAGGCAGCTCTGTGACTTTTAAACATTTGAGGGATGATGAAAGATGAGACACAAAGAGCAAAACGGAAATGATGTCATCGCTTTTGGTGCTAATATGATGGGAATTCCTATTTGCTAAGTGGCTAGGGAGAGGACTCACAGGCCCACAGCACAGGGAGATTCTTGTCATACTGGCTACCATAGTGATAGTGGTCCTTCAGACAACAGTAAAGTGGTGTCTTTGACTGTGCTTTTCACAAATTAACTTTTTCTTTCTCCATTTCTGTGTGTGTATGTTGGTGTCATGTGTGTATGCATGCTCTGGATGTGTGTGGGCATACCTGTGGGGGTATTGCGTTCACATGTGTGTGGGCACACATACAAAGGGCCAAGGTTGTTGTTGGAAATCAGCCTCCATCACTACTGTACCTTAGTTATTGAGACAAGGTCTCCCAATCAACCCAGAGCTCATCGATACAACTACTCCTGCCAGCTGGCTTATTCTGCAGCTGGAATTATTGCAAGTGGACCATCTACTCATCTGGCATCGATGTATATGTTCCCGGGAATTCCAACTCCATCCTCACATTTGCACTGCAAACACTTTAAGCACTGAGCCATCTCCCCAGCCCACGAAAGTTGTTAGGAGCAATCAACACACTATACGGACACTGAAGCCCAAGTGAACCGTGGAACAAACCTACACATTCTCCATCTCAAAAGCACCAGTGGTAATTTCTTTCACAACCATTAAAATGGCATAATCCCCTTCCCAAACCTGTCCTCCATTCCCTAGAAGGAACCTCCTTTTGCCATTGCACATAAAACTTATTCTAAATCTTCGGCCAGAGCTGGATGTGGCACCAGGCAGGCGTGCTAACTCTACTAACATCCCCTCAAGTTTGGAGGAACTGTGCTAGATGGCCTCTCTGGAACCTCGCTTGAAGGATCGGTTCCACTCTGCAACTAGCATAGTGACCACGACACAGCACACTGCTAGCTTTACACCCTGCTTATTAAAACAAGAAATGAGGTCACACACTGCCTGAAGCCAGCCAGGAGCTTGCTTCATTCAATTGCATATTACAGGACCTAATTTGGGGGTCTTCTGATGGGGTATGCATGTTTGTGATGTGGGGAGGAGGTATTTCCCAAATTACTTCCTCCTCCTACCCCCATCACACCACATGGGCTAAATTTACCCAAGCAGCAGCTAAAGACTGGTGTCTGTTTTATGACATAAACAAGCAAAACCTCACCCTGTCCTGGCTGCGCTTTTCTTCAAGCCTTAATGAAGGGTTGGGTCCTCCCTGCTGGGAACTCTATTCAGTTTAAGGAACTAACTGATTCGCTTGGCCCAAGTGTTTAAGGATATGAATACAGAAAGGAAATCTATGCAGAAATAGACTTCATTGTGATGCTCACGTTTTCCTGCCGTAGGGAAACAATGTATATAGTCTGGCCCAGAGACACATAAGATGTTAGATTGTCTTACCCACATGCCTTAGCCAAAAAACGCTTCTGTCTCTGAAGCAGGTGAGAGGAATATATATCCTTGTAGACCAACCTCTGTGTGAGATGAAGAGCCAGGACTTTTAGAGCCAGGGGATATCAACTGTGCTAAGCACCCAGCCATTCCCGGCAGAGATGAAGAGAGGAATCTATGACACTCTGGAAACAGAACTGGACAGTGGTGTGGATTTTAGAATAGGCCAGGCTTTCCCTGACACTATGGATGCTCCAGAAAGGCTGTGAAGAGAGGCAAATGAAATGAAAACAGCACTACCAGACTGCTGCAGAATATTTGAGTGAGTGAAAAAGAGAGACGGGTTTAAGATCACTTGAAAATGTGCACGACACTTGGACCTCTGGGAAAAGTCTGATAGGGCAGAAAGTACCCAGTGCCATCCTCAAAAGCAGGAGCATGAAGTAGAAGCATCTATTCCTTGATGGTGCACTAACACATCCACTCATTAATCATGTACTGTCTCCCCTCACATGAGTCAGCGTTCAAGCAGGAGACAGTATTCACATCAATAATGTGAACAGAGAGATTTTAATGGCTAAGAGAGGTAAAGAGATCCCTAAGGAATACTGGAAAGGCAGGTGCAAGGAGAAGCTACTACTCCCAGGGCTGAAGAGAGGAAGGAACTCAAGAAAGGAATAAACTTAAAGTCGGTGTCCTCTCAAGAGAGAGATGTGCCTGTACCGGGAAGATGTGCCTGTAGCCCACTGGGTGGTGCTTTAGGAAGCTTCCAACTGGAGTGCTGGGAAAGCTCTGTCGATGCAACTTTCTTGACAGTAATCACTCACCAGAAAGTATGCACCACCAGGTCTCCATGAGCACTGCACACAGCAAGAAGGGAAGCCCCAGAACCCAAACAGAAAGCCCGTCTCTGACAGTGTCCTTTCAGCGCCCTCTACTGGCAAACCTTTCGACACTGGTGGAGGAGAAACATTGGCAGAGACCTACCTGCTCCAGTGTCCCAAAGCAAGGAAAGAGTGAGGATTGGGAGCAGAAAGCTAATAAATGGACAAGGCATAATCATAGCTTATACACTGTGGTAGACCTACCGTGTTTGAAGATTTAAAAAAAGTATGGTCTCCCTCTTAGAAAACATGGTGCTGGAGAAAAATCTCTGTCAAAGTGTTGATATTTTTGGATTCCTTCAAATTAAAGAATGTTACTATAAGGAGGGCACAATGGTGTACACCTATAGTCCCAGCACTTGGGGTGGTGGGTGCTGAGGCAGGAGGATTATGAGCTCAAGACTGCATAGTGAGACCATGTTTCAAAAAAAATCAAAATAACAAAAGTTACTATCTCTCTAATTATCTCAGAAGAGTCACTGGTGTGTTCCATCTTCAGGGGGTTCGTGATCACCTAATTTAAATAACCTCAGGGCTGGACAGATGGCTCGGCCATGGAGAGCACTTTTTCCTTTGCAGATGGCCCAGGTTTGATTCCCAGCACCCACGTGGTGGCTCACAACTGCCTGTAACTGCAGTTCCAGCAGACCCAGTGTCCTCTTCTGAAACACACTATGGTGATTTGATGAGAACGGGCCCCCGTAAGCTCATTCGTTTGACTACTGTGGCTATCTGGATGCAATTGGCACCCATAAGCCCAAGGAGAGTGACACTATTAGGAAGTGTGGCCTTGCTGAAGTGG